AGAGAAAAGGAGAATCTGTACATTAGCCCAATCTCACCAAAGAATATCAGGAAATTCTGTACTCAACATTAAAACCTTGCATAGCTCATTTTGTCAAAACAAAACAAAACAAAACAAAACAAAACAAAACAGGCTTGTCTTATAAAGGAGAGAGTTGATAGAAAAGATCATAGAGAGAATGCACGTTAGGCATGCCGTTTCATTTCTGTCCTGCATTTTTCCCTGATACAGCATGGAGGCAGAAGCCAGACTGTCAGGTTCATTTCCCAACTTGGTCATTTGTTGGTATGGGACTTAAACGATATTACCCATTTATTTCCTCACTTTCTTCATGTCTATAAAGGACTAATTATAGTACCTACTCCAAAAATTCTTTTTTTTTTAAAAGGTTTATTTATTTATTTATTTATTTAGAGTGCCCCCATGGAAGGGTGAAGGGGCAGAGGGAGAGGGAGAGAGAATTTTAGGTAGACTCCATGCTGAGCATGGAGCCCGGTGCAGGGCTGATCCCACGACCCTGAGATCACGAGCTGAGCAGAAACCAAGAGTTGGTCACCAAATGACTGTGCCACACAGGCGCCCCTAGTCCAGAAACTCCTAAGAGCATGGTCCAGGCATTCCCCCCCCCTTTTAAAAGCCATACAGGTAGTTCTAATAAAATGCTATGTTGAGAGCCACTGGATTACATAAATATAAGATTTGTATAGCTTTATGATATGGTTTTATACTCCAAAATACCATGAATTCAAACATGTAGACAAAAGGTTCTCAGTAATAATTCATTCTAAGAATAGATACTTCTATTTTAAATAAAGGGATCTAAAGCTTCGGGGAAATTAAGTAACAGACCCAAATCAATAGCAGAACTTGGGGGAAGGTTTTAAATCACCTGGAAACTTTCACAGTACACTATTTTTATGCCACACATACTGTATTTCACATATGTACAAAGTTTTTCGTGTCCTGTAACTCATTCTGTTACTTCTAGGCAAGAAAGTTCTCAAACTCACTATCTAATAATATTCCAAAGAGGATATTTTCTCTCACTTATATATAAGGATAATCCAATTGTTTTTTGTTTCTGTGTCTATAAAATTAAGATATGACCATCTGTCTCATACACAGACACCTACAAGCATTGAGACTAATCTCTGTAAAGGTGGTAGGCAAAATGTTAAAAATCAAAATCAATATACACCTGAAACTAATTTAACATTGTATGTCTACTGTATGTTGATTTTTTAAAAAAAGGTTATTTTTTTAAAGTCAATAAAAGTTAGCTAAACCCGAGGCTTACAAGAATAATGTCTCTTTTCTTGCTGTCAGATCTTTGCTTCTTCTGTAGAAGCAAGACAACTTCAGTGCATCACTCCCCGAAATTCTGTACTCAGAGGGAAACTTTGTGCTCACTTCAAAAAGAATTTGAATTTGCCCTCGGTGGAACTGTCATGGCTCTTGGGTGAGAGGTTTACCCTTCTAGTCTCCGGAGCAGTATTCATATACTTTACTGCATTTCATCTCTGTCCTTGACTTTTATTTATGTGTTTATTTTAAAAAAGATTTTATTTATTTATTTGACAGAGATCACAAGTAGGCAGAGAGACAGGCAGAGGGAGAGGAGGAAGCAGGCTCCTTGCCGAGCAGAGAGCCCGATGTAGGGCTCCATCCCAGGACCTTGAGATCATGACCTGAGCCAAAGGCAGAGGCCCAACCCACTGAGCCACCCAGGTGCCCCTGTCCTTGACTTTTAAATCAAAGTCAATAAATACAGTTGTTGAACTTGGACAGCCCTGCTGTGGTCTATCTAGTGACATTCTACTTACCTATTCTATGATTTTAGAGCCTGATAAGATTAGCTGACAATACAGGAAAGAATGGACACCTCTCAGACTTGGCAGGAAGAGTCAGGCTGGGATTTATACCGTGGCAGTTACAAAGTTCAGAGAGGAAAATGGCCGGGTCCTATAGCACCCCACCTGGAACACTGAGGGGGATAACTGGCTAATTAGCAAAGAAGAGTCACCACCACGCAAAAGTTTCATTATGACCAATTTTATTTCGTAACTGCATTGTTGGGCACTTTATGGTATTATGGAGTTCATCCAAGATTTATGTTTGCATATTTTTGAAAAAATTCCCCAAACAATACTTCGATGCACAATGTCCTCCCAATAGTAGTCAGCTTTCGAGATGATTTATACTGTAGCCTCAAGGATGCGAGAACAGTGAAACAAATCTCAATGCTGGGTAGGTTTTTTAACAGGTATCTGTCACCATGTCTGGCAAAAAGCTCAAGACTCTCAGTCCTCTTAAACAGTTACTCATTTAAAGCAAAGAAATAAGCTTTGGGAAAATTCTGTTTTAACCTCTCACGTACCTTTTGATATAAAGAAGACTTAATGCACATTAAGTTGCAGACTTCATGCAGTTCATACTTGTTTGCTGTTCTAGGCACTGCTGTAAGCACTACATCAGGACAGACTGACGCAATCTCGTTTTCGGTGTAGCATCACTGAATGGTTTTCAAAATGACCACGCGGAAGTTGCACTGCCCGAGGGATGGTGGTGGGATACTTGGGCTACATTTACTAACAGGCACAGAGTTCCAGTTCTGTCCTGTCCTAAACATCACAGAACCAACCAGAGGGTGGATTCGTGAAGGTACCTCATGAAGGCTCTCATCTGGGAGGTGAAATAACACGGAGATGAAAAGATACCTAGAGGTTTCTCACATCAAAGAGGTCATCATTTCTGACTATGCAACCTTTTTTAAGATAAAAGACTGTGTATTTTAAATTACTTAACTGAAATACATTTTGAAGAAAACAGAGCTTTCTGGATAGAAAGCTTCAGCTGACACTGCTGCTCAGTACCTTGTTTAATTTTTTGGTATGTTTGCATATCGCATCGAGAGCTACAGATTTTCCACAGTGCTTTTCTGCCTCATTCAAGTACAATAAAAGTAGAAATCTATAGAAGCTCTAAGGTTAAACAAACTGTACATTATACAAAAATTAACTTAATTTATAGACAGTCAAGAAGTACTGGCAATGCCCTTTATAAATCTTACCAAAGATTCATCACAAAGGCTATTACAATCTATGTATGTGGTCATCACCATACAAACGCCATTTAGATTTATGTGGTACAGAACTGAATATTTGTTAAATGTACACGTGTAGAATCAGCATTTTGCACTATATACATTTCTTTTAAAGTAATAGTATTGTCAATACTAACCGAAGGTTCGGGATTTTCTTATTGCATATTTACCGTTGCTGAGGCAGTTAGTTATAATACAATAATGCAATATCCATAATTATTTTAAATAAACAAAAACATTTCTCCTGCCAACAATATAAAGAATTTTCTAAGATTACACAGAACGTTGCTACATACAGCTTTACACAAATACTGAAAAACATGACCTTAAGGCATCTGCTAGAAAAGCAGATGTGCAAATTTATAGGAACTAAATGATGCAGGAAAAATATTGCACAAAATCCTATTATTTTCAAAATTAAATAGGCTTCTTTCTAAATACACATGATTCGCTATATCATGACCAAATAAAAATGTTAATAACCAGTTTGCTCAAAACAATTCTGCCTCTTAAGTAAGCTTTAAGAAACAGACACAAAGTATCAGGCTCGACACAGGGAAGACGGGAGTCCTCACACAGAATCTGTGAAAGCTATTTCCTTAGATGAAGAAGTGCTTTGGGGAATTAGATTTGCGTATTCATTCCACTTTCTGAAATTTGTGTTCTGACTTACAATTATCTATCCAGAGTCAAGGTCTTTTATGCTAAACAAAATGGTATTTGCACTAGAAAATTTATTGATGAAAATAATTTTTTCTTGAAAATCCAGATTGTCTAGATGAGAAGGAAGATCTACTGCTGATTATGAGAATATTCACACTTTTCTCCTCTTGATCAGGACTCTTCATGTTATTTAAGAAACAACTAATTCATGAACATTCCTGACTCCTCTTATAAGGATATTAGTACAGAATCCAAACAACAGCACTTTTAATTGAAGAGGTGGGGATGGGGGGCCCGCGGGGGGAGGGGGGGCAGCTGTTTCTAGAGAATGCTATTATCAAGATAAAGACAGTCAAAACTAGTTTCCATCAACATGCACCCACACCATCAGTTAATCCTAAAGTAAGTGAAGTGGCCTAAGTCTTGTGAAGGAGCGTCATTCCATTCTAGAGCCCTGTGCTGCCTGGTCAAAAGATTGAGCAGAGTGGGGACAGAGAATCAAAGAAACAAGGACACTTAGTTTCTAAGAGCTTCAAAGTCTGTCCTTTAAAAGTAGGTATCCTCAATAGCAGCATTATTATACTTTGTTAAAATAATAAGGAAAGTTAATGAAATTAGAAGTGGTACCGTGGTTGTACACTTAGAGCATGTTTTAGATTCAGCAGCTTTAAAGGACTTTTTCTTATTTTGGTGTTAGAATCTTGGGCTAATAACTTCTGAGCAAAATATATTATTATTATTATTAACAGAGATTTGTCACTTCTTTTCCTTTTAATTGGTCCCGTCAGAGCAGGGACTAAGTTATTATTTTATTTCCTTATAGCCCCAGTTACTGTACCTTGCATACGACCAGTACAAAGAGTCAATAAATATTTCCTAAGTGCGATGAGTTATTAATAGAAAAATCATCTTGCTAGGTTTTGGTGCCTTCCTAAAATATGCTAAAGTAGGTAACCATCAAGATTTGCCACTTAACAACACACTGACCTAACAAAACAATAGCTCCTAAATTCACACATGACTTTTCTATCCCTCCCCCTAAAATATCCCAGATGCAATATTTAAGGACAAAAAAGGTAAAACCTAGACTGGGATTCAGGGAGTATCATTTAGAGGCCACATAAAAGACTATGCATGAAAGCCAAAGACTTACTCATTTATACAACTCTGGAAGAACAGGTAAAGCTTCTTTGAAAAACAAATCCAAGCAGCAGAGGGGTTTACAAATATTTCATTTTGTTATAATAGAAAATATGAACATAGGAGAAAATAAAATAATACTTTGTTTCAGAATTCACCTTAATTTCACTTCATTCTCCCTATATCCACCATAATACTGGGAAGTCTAGCTTAAGAGCAGATTGAACACTCCAAATATTAATGATTTGAAATACTAATACTTTTGGAGTAGTAGTCTCTTGGATAGTAGCCTTCTGGATTTTTTCCAAGAAGAACATGTAGAGCTTTTGTTTTTGCTTTTGTTTTTCAACAGAATATAAAAGCTGATTTTGCATGTTAAAATAAGGCACAGATCCAGTTCAAAATACCTCGATGCAAATGCACTTGTGGGTGGCTAAATTTCCTCACAGTAACAGTCTTGTAGTCAAACATCTCATGAGGTGACCAGTTGGTAGAAGAACCTCCATTTCTGAGGCCATGATGTTTATTAAGCAAATTTTACCTATGCTACACTCACAATTATCTCATTCTTCAGACTATGAATTCTGAAAGAAAACATGCTTCATTCCAATAGTCATATTAACAGACTTCTTTTTTTTTTTTTAAATTACGAAGAAATATTTGCCAAGCAGATTAACAACCAGGGTGACCTTTTTTCCTTCTCATTTAAAACAGCTCTTCTGATAAATCTACTTTTATTACGTTTTGGCAAAGTGAAATGGAATTTTGTAATGAGTATATAAAAGCAAAGTTTGACAAGAACGATGAGTCTTACTTTTGTGTTAATAAAATAAGGATTAAACACTTTTTTCCTTAGTATATACTGACTCCCTCCTTATAGGGAAAACAAGATTTCTCTTTACAAACATGAATGAATAATTGTGCCTAATAAAACATATCTGTTTAGGTTTTGGAATGTAGCTTAGAAAAGAAAAAAACTTGGTCATTTTCTTTAAATTATTTAAAGACTGACCTGGATAAACATTTTTAAGCAATGTTTTTAACAAACCACCTTCTGGGGTCTTTTACCTGAAAACTAAATTCTTCCAGTAAATAGTTCAGGGTACAGTCCTGATGGGGTTCTTGAATGGTTTCTCAAACACATTTTCTAAAATGACACCTAGGGATGTACAGAATATATAGTGAATATACAAATACCAAATGAACCATAACACCACTGTTTTTTTTCCTGACTTTATCCCCGTCAATCTATCCTATCCTGAAGCAGTCAATGCATGATGCCTTCTGACATGAATTTCAATGTTCAGCAGTGAGTTTGAGGGAGTAGAGACAAATTTCCTATGTAGAAGAATTCCAAATAATTTATGTAGATACTCCACTCTAAGGGAAAGGAAGCAAAAAGCCCTACTCCTTAGGTGTGGGCTATACACAGTGATCTCCTTCCAAAGACTCCGGCACACAAAGGGAGGGAAAAGAGTATAGTGGAAAAACCTGACAAACACCACCTCAGCTCAGTTATCAAAGTCAACATCAACACTCACAAATTGTGCTGACATTATGTACCATGGTTATGGTATAATGAAAATGACACTTTACTTCTGTAATCTTCCTCCTGCAAACCCACAATCACAGTATAATTGTGAGAAAAAGAGCAGACACATTCTAATAGAGGGACATTCTATAATATATTCGACCAGTAGATCAGTCCTCTTTAAACCCATCAAGGTCATCAGAAACAAGGAAAAGTCTGAGAAAATGTCACAGCCAAGAGGACTTGAAAGACACATGACAACCAGATGTAATGTGGTTTCTAGAATTAGATTCTAGGATAGAAAAAAGACATCAGGGAAAAACTAAGGAAATCTGAATAAAGCATGGACTATCAATATTGGTGCACGAATTGTGGCAAATGTACCATACCAATGTGAAATATTAATCATAGGAGAAATTGTATGAGGGACGTAATGGGAACTCTCTGTATTGTCTAATTTTTCTGTAGATCTAAAACTTTTAAGATATTAAGTCAATTATTTTAAAAAAGTAAATTTGAGATGATAAGAAACATTCTGAATTACTACTTAAGGGGAAAAAAAAAAAAGACAGGAACATTTCTTTATCAGGACAGTTCATGTTGCATTTGGCTTTCTGGGGCTGGGTTCCTAGACAGCAAAGGCATACAGAGAGACTGAAAAAATTTTAAAGTGTCTCATTTGTAAACAGAAGTCATTAATTTCACATTGTAATTCAGCACTTCATATATTTCACTGAGTAAAAGGTCAATATGTACCTTTATACATTTTGGAAAACATGGCTGCAGTGTCCACAAGAGAGCTTTTCAACTTTGAAAAATGAATTTTGTCCTTGATGCAACGAATAGAAAAAGGCATTATTGCTCTGCAGAACACTTATAACTTATCCTTCAAAATTTACAGATAATTCCATAAATTATTAAAGTATGCTAAATATAGGCTTAGGATTAAGGCAGTTAGTAGGTCAACAGTTTCAGCAGTTTCAGGCTAGTTTTGATATCCTGATCAGTTCATGCTCGACCAGATTAGTATAGTAGCTACTTGTTATGTGCAAGGGTTATATATGCATATTAGTTTAAATAAAATGAATGGCATTAAGCACCAAATACTGGGAAATCATATGTTTGACATATACTTCCATGATACATACACACTAGTACCTGATTTAAGAGCACAGTAGGAGAATCAGCGTTACATTTAAAAATCAATCGATAATGTATACTCACGAGATGAATGAGTGGGGAAAATGTATGCTCCAAATGCAAAATAATGTTTAGACAGTACTAAGAATTGTCATCCTTACAAATAATTCTATTTACTACAGAGATTACAAGGAATCATAAAATGTCTCCATAGAAGCAAGGATGCAAGTGAGTGACTCCTAATCATTGACTTAGGCTTGGTTTCCACTTGCGTTTTCTTCTGAAATGTTTAAGTCTTGCTGGAAGGCAGATGTCATGTGACATAAGGACACCACTTCATGAAGCAGTCCAGTATCTCCTAAAGTCTCTTTGGCTTCTTTCCCTTCTTTCTCCCAAGGAACAAAAGTACATGAATGTCGCCCAAGGCTGGGTGTAAGCAGATCGTCTGAAATCTGGCTTAGTGTTTTTTTCTTTTCTGGTTTAGCTTTTTCATTTTCAGAAACTTCAGGCAAAGCTAGCTGGAGAGTCAATCCTGAAGTAGAAGCCGCCTTTTCCATGACCGGAGGCCCCCTCATATTGTCAGCACTGAGGTATTTTTCATTGTTTTCCTCTTTCAGGATAAACAGAGAATCTGTCAAGCCGCTAGAGGAAACCCGCTTCCGGGGAGAGGGAGGAAGGTGTTTGCCGTGGAGGGCGCTATCGTCTTGTCCGAGATGCCACTCGGTTTGATCACCAGAACCACTACAAAGCAGGGCCAGGTTATTCTCACTAGGTGCATTGGATGTATTCTGAAAGGAGAAACAATACATTCAGAATCATTTTAATGAGATTATAATGTTACATTAGCATTTTTTTCCCATTTTGAAATAAAATATTAATATCTTTCAAGGCTGGCAACTTGGAAGTTCCCCCCAGAGGAAATACAGCATCGACAGTTAATTCTGAACACCTGCAAATGGCTCTATTAACAAGAAAATATATAAACATATATAATTTTTATTTGTCAATTATACTTCAACAAAGCTGAAAAAGCAAATGAAAAGAACTTGCCATCTGCCCTCCCCCCGCAACCCCTAAATAGACCAACTACCTCAATGCCAAGTTCTGGAATTACTTACAGTCACCACAGGGTGGCCATTACTCATACTTCCATCTCTAGTGTTTTTAAAACATTCATATCAGTTTGTTTAAAATACTCTTCATTTTTGAAGCAATATAATGAAAAAGTACTTGAACTGAGACATCTCTTAAACATTTTTTGAAGATCCAGGAAATATAGAAAAAAGTGGGAACACTTCACATTTAAATAATTCCCCAGAAAAGACAACTCTAAAACTAGACTATAAGAGAATATTATGGCTTGAAAAAATTATTTTCAATGGATGTCAACAACCACCAGAACTGGATACATAAATGAGAAAATACTGGAATTCTGAAGCTAGAAATAAGTCTTAATGATTAAAATTTCATATTTTTGAAGATCTGACTACTCACCTGTTTGTTAGAGGTTAAATGCTTCGATCAACTAAGATTATAACATAAGGCAATTCACACCCAAGGGTAAGAATGTTTTCATTTAAGTTTATAGGTTGAAAAAATCAACTAACCGTAGGTTTATAATCAATATCATCCATTGATCTGAAGAAATCCAAGCTCTTAGCTGCTGCTAGCTTTCCCTGGTCTGAGCTGTGTGTGCTCAATGTGTCTAAGATTTCTCCTAGGAGGTCCATTTCGCCTGAGTAAGGAGTCTTTACTCTTGTTTCAACGGAGTCATCGCTTTCATAAAAATAAGCAGACGCTTCTTCTCCATCTTCAGAGGACAACCTGAGGGAAAATGAAGCACGTGCTAGCCATCCTGCAGCCACCCAGTTACATTCATGAGTGAGACAGTCTTGAAACCAAAGTGCTTTTCCGTGGAACCACAACAAAATGGCAAATTGGCTCAATGCCAAATTCTTTACAGTGATGTGTGCAAACCAATTCAAACAGGGGAACTTTTGAGTACGTGTACTATGAAAATACAAACAAATAGCTATGGGACCTTAATCAATCTGGAAGCCGAAGCAGTGCTTTCACACAGTCTAATTCTGTGGGATTTGGGACATTAGCCTTAGAATAGTAGATGGAACATTTGGAAACTTTGCTATAGCCCAAGTTCATGTTCAGTATTTGTATGTGGTTTTCCCTTTATTTATCCACTTGTTTTAGAGAAGAATGTATATTCCTTAATGTAGACAAAGATATACTTAATGGAGAAAAAAGACTGTGCATTTTGTCACCCCCATATAAGTTTAAATTATTTTTAAAAAAACCTAAATGTCTATTATTATTTCCCTTACTTTATAGTGAAATTAATTTTTAATACTTTGTATTAAAATTTCCTCTTCTGATATCACCACAGATTTAAACCCCTCCCCTTCCCCAACTTGGTTTAATGGACATTTCTTAATGTTTCTGCCATTTAACCTGCCCCTCTTCACTAGCAGGGTAGGGGCCTAACTTAGGTGGGCTTCTATTTCCCCTTTAACACTATCGCAGATATTTCTGTAGGCCTTACCACTTTCCAAGAACAAGATATTTCAGGTCTATCTGGCTTTCCCATCTCAAGATTCATTCCCCATGAGACTCCAAGGAGCACTGGTTCTTTTTGCTGAAGAACATTGCAAGGGAGCAAAATCTAATCTCTTGGATTATACATCCTTTGAATTATCTTCTAAAATCCTAAAACTTCTGCTTTTCAGCCACAACACTTAGTAGGACACTAAAATCCATTGCGACTTACTTGCTCGCTCTCTCGTCATCGTCGTCATCATACAGAGCACCATCAAGGCTCTTCAGGGGTCTTTTTAGGCGTGCCTAGAGAGAATTGACCATAAATTGGCATTAGTAGTTAAAATAAGTCTTTTCATGAATTTTAAAGGAATAATTTGATCTAACAAGGAATACTTTTAAAAGAAATATGGGGGCATCTGGGTGGCTCAGTGGGTTAAGCCTCTGCCTTCAGCTCAGGTCATGATCCCAGGGTCCTGGGATTGAACCCTGTATTGGGCTCTCTGCTCAGCAGAGAGCCTGCTTCCTCCTCTCTCTCTGCCTGCTTCTCTGCCTACTTGTGATTTCTGTCAAATAAATTAAAAAAAAAAAAAGAATTTGTTTCTAAAAGAAATATGAATTCAGGATTTTTTAATATTAACCAATCACTTGACAAGGTGTGGATTAAGAAGGGGAGGGAATCAGACAACTGATGTCAACATTTACAGCTCAAACCAACAGACAAAAACCAAATCACTGATTGAACACACACACACACACACACACAATGCTCTAGTCTGCCAGTCCCTGGTTTAAAAACACTTGACTTATAATCAATCACATCCCCATGCACTTATTCCCTACTTTTAATAATCATCAATATTTGCCAATCTTGTTTCTTTTATCTGTCTCCCCAATTATTTTAAGGCAGTACTTCTCAATACTTAATGTATGTATAACTCTCTTGGAGATCACAGTAAAAATGTAGCTCTGACTCTACTGGGTTCTAAGGATGAGGCCAGAGGTTCTGCATTTCTAACAGGCTCTCAGGTGAAGTTAGTGCTGCCGGATCTGAAGGTCTCACACTGAATAGCAAGGTTTTGAACCGAATGCTAGACAACCTATCATTTCACCTGTAAACACTTCACTATATACCTTTAACAGATATCATTATTATACCATACAAATTAACAATTATTCTTTAACATCCTCTATTCTCAGACCATTCTCATACGCCCTTATGACCCCCCCGCCCAGATATTTTAGTTTGTGTGGACCAGAATCTCAACATAGTTAACACCATTTGGTTGGCATATCTGTCAAGTCTCCTGCAGAGACTATCAGTTCTGCCTTCCCCATCCTTTTGCTATTTGTGTCCTTGAATAAGTGATTTTTTTCCTCTTCCTATAAACTGGCAGTCACATCTGGAAGCTTGGTTAGATTCAGTTTCTGTTTTTTTGTTTTTCTTCTGTTTTTGGCAAGATTATGCTACATGTGTTGAGATGTGTTTTTATACTGCATACGTTAACATTAAGATGTCTCACTTTTGGTGGTTCTAAGATCCATTAATGGCTTCAGGATTCAGGTAGCTGATACCATCCATTACGAATTTTCTTTCACTTGATGGTTTTAGCACCCAACAATAATCCTTGGGTAAATTAATTATGCAGACGGGGCTTCAAAATTATGCTTTTCAAAAGCATTCCTTCTATCTTTATTTGTTGGCATTCTATCAAGAGTTTTGTTCTATTAACTATTTGGCTATTCTGAAATTTGGCTATTCTGTACAGTAGAGATAGGATAAATCTTTGATGCTTTCCTTTTGTTCAACAATTTCCAGAGTAATGAGCTTATGCCTATCAGTCTCTGAAGGTGAGCTGTGAGGGTTTTTAAAAAGTCATCATCATCTGTATATATCTGATGTGGCTCAGCCTATCACAGTTGTTGTTCTTGATTTTTTTAAAAAAAGATTTATTTATTGGAGAGACAGAGAGAGCATATGAGTGCAAGAGTATACATGGTGGGGAGGGTAGGGCAGAGGCAGGGGAGAGGGAAAGAATCTCCAGCAGACTCTGCACTGAGCGACCTGGGCACCCTTCTTGATGTCTGATCAGTCTAGATTTTTGAATGACACCATAATTATATTTTTAAAACACAACCATTAATGCTTCTTAACTTTTAGAGATACATCTTGAATATTTGCAGGCTAAACTATGTGTGATGTGCTAAGTTACTTCAAAAAAAGCCAGGGGTGGGGTAGGATCACAGGAAGGGCTGGTACTGAAATAAGACTGACCATACATTGATAACCGTTGAAGCTGTACTTTTGAAAGGTATCCAGGAATCTTTTTTTTTTTTTTTTTTTTAAGATTTGAAAGAGAGAGGGAGCAAATGGGAGGCACAGATGGAGAGAGAGAAAGAGAGAGAGAGAGAGAAGCAGACTCCACATGGAGCATGGAGCCCGACGTGGGGCTTGATCTCAGAACCATGAGATCATGAACTGAGCCAAAACTAAGAACCTCATGCTCAACCAACCGTGCCACCCAGATGTCCCATGGTATGCAGGAGTTCTTCTAAGCTTTTTACTTTAACATGTTTGGATTATGTTAAGTGTTCTATCCACAATAAAATAATTTTTTAAGTTTTTTTTTTTTTTTTTTAATGGTCCCATCTTAGGTCAGTGTTAGCCCAGTCAAATTGTTTCCTGTGTCCTTTAAACATGATCTCAGAAGCTCTTTAGTAAGCTTCTTCATTTTGGCCTAACATAATGTGTCATTTCAACTTGTGCATTTTCTGCATCAGACATGGAATCAGCCACTTGCTATATGAGTTTGGTTCTTTCTTTTAAGTAGGCAATGACATTTAAAAGGCCAGAGTCTGGGTGCCATGGGTGCCCATGGCTGCAAACCATGTTTCTGAATGGACGGCTGCAAAGCTGAATTTGAAGACTTGAACCATCGTATCATCAGAGGATTAACTTTCTGTCTTCCAATTCTGATCTCCACATCTAGGTAACTGTTTTCTTCTATTGCAGCCGTAAAGAATAAGCAAATGTCTGGAATCTATGGTACTTGATCCTTACTCCTCCCTGTCCTCTATGCCCATGCCGGCAGTGGTAGGAAGGGGAAGAATGAGTAGAGAGAAGTACATTTTTAACCCCCGGTGGATTGTGTAGAGAGTTTCTCCAGGAGTTTGGTGATTAGCTATGTATTTGGGTGTAAAACTATAATATCATTTTACGACAAGTTTAAGGTATATGAGTTAAAAAGAAATTTGAGGAATGGCCTAGGTACACAACTGCCACTTACAATATTAAGTGGGAAATACATTTTCCCTGAAGGGAAAATACATTTCATCCATCCCCTCCCAAACTCACAAAATACAGTACAATTCTTGTTTCTAAAAACAAGTCATTACTATTACACTGACATCTGTATATGCTTAACATTATGCCAGCTAGGGGTCATGCATTCAATTTTTGCAAAAACAAAACAAAACAATTCAGAACTAAAACCAAACAAAACCATGAGGGAGCTGAGACTTCCTGCTGTTATTTAAAGAATAATTTTTGGCTATTTAAGAATTAATACAAGATATTAAATACATAGCTTAATATTTATGCTTGTAAATACTTCGGAAAGAACTCTCATATACACACAGTGGGGCTAGGGTCTAGGAATACAGAGTAGCGTTAGGCTGAGTCTTTGCCATTAAGGAGCTCAGAGTCTAATGAACCCCATGATCAGTCTGGAGGTATACCACGAGGCTCCATAATTTGCCCAAGGCCATACACCTTATCAAGAACAGGAACCAGAGCCAATGTATTTTTCTGCTGTGTTGCTGGTCCCTTGTTCATTTTCTTTCATAATTTACTTTTATATTCTACATCTGCCTGCATATACTAGAGATTCTCAGTTGTTTTATTCTGTGTTGTTAACCACAACTTTTTTTTGTTTTGTTTTTATGAAGCTACTCCCATAAGCTTCACAAGTATGTTTGAATTTGGTTTTTTATTTCCTAACTAGGCAAGGGTCCTATCAATTTCTAAACAGAGATGTTGTTAAATGGTATATCTTGTAATGAACTTTCACAATAGAATTAAAACCAGAAGTACAACGGATCAGTATAATATTCTACTTTCTGTGAGTGTTAAGATTTGTACTCTCTAAACTCTTAGTGCCTGCGCGTACAAGTTGTTGGTTATCTGAAATCAGCTCCTAATTAGTAGTGACTGGATCTATCTCAGAATGTAGGAACTGCAGTCTCCATATATGAAGTGACAAGATCCAAACACATAATCAGTGTGTCAAGTGCTTGAAGACATCAAATTACATAATTGGTGAAGGTCGCACAGGAAAAACAAAGGGAGAAAAAAGTTACAATTTGATGAACATTCAAGACAGAGAAAAACGGCAGCTTGTGTAACAAGAGCATCATCAGTTTCTGAGCTTTTATGAACCCAGATTATCCCTCCATTACTGTTTCTGGTAGGCTGGGACTCGGGCACCATGCCTTCAGAGGAAATAAAGGATTGTTCCCACTATGCCCAGAACACACAACACAAGGCAAAAAGATCTGGTCAGCATTTTATAAAGAGAAGTCTTTTATGGATAATTGATAGCAAGTAAGCTTAGAGCACAGAAAATATTATAGCCAGTTACAGTACATCTTTACCTGGGTTCACAAATCATGGATACACCGTTACTGAAAACCTGCACACTAAACTAAACAGAAACTGAAATATAAACAACTAAGAAAGAGAAAAGTAATCTCAATACACAGAATAAAAATAAAATCCATACACTTTTTTTTTTTTTATAATACAACTGACCTTTGGGAAGAAGTATAGATCTTTTTTTTTTTTTTTTAACTGTAATAGTAATGAACAGGTGCAAATGCCAGTGGAATGAGTTTTGTATATTATATGTATTCAGAGAAAAAAATCTCTATTTAAGATCCAGACAGAAATCTCACAGGAAGAAGCATGGAACAGGAAAGTTTGCAAGGGGAGATAAACGCTTTCATCATAAATGATTATGTCCCACTTCTTGAAGTAAACGCCAAGACAGTCATAACATGGCCTATAGTTAGGAACAGATGCTTTTTTTTCTTTTTAAAGAATGATTATGAAGTGATTGAGAGATAAAGCTATAAACAGTCAACATGGTAAAAAAAAAAAAATTGGAGAATAGGAAAAAAAAAATAAGTGGATTCCTAAGGGGGGAAAAAAAACCTTAAAAATATTTTTTCAGGGGTACCTGGGTGGCTCAGTGGGTTAAAGCCTCGGCCTTTGGCTCAGGTCATGATCCCAGGGTCCTGGGATCGAG